TTGAATCAAAAACGATAGTACAGATAAGCAAATGATCAAAATGAGAATTTATTAAGTGGGCCGAGCGTTTTTGATATTTTGTTTAACATCGTTACGGAATACATTCATTATTCATTCAGATCAAATCAGGTTTCGGGGTGTTTTAAGCGATGGATCTTTTTAGATGTATCACTTACTTGCCAGCGCATATTTCGATATAGTCAATTTTTTGTTAACAGAACGCTGGAACTTCTTCGCTGACGATATGGACAAATTTTCAATCTTGATTCTTGTTTTGAGCATTCTGAAGAATTATTTAAATGTTAAACTGAGTGCTTCTCCCTCAGTGCAATCTTCTGAGTGCTTGAAAGATCTATTGTGAAATATTACTGGAAGTGAGAGTGAGCGATTGACGGTGAACCCAGTTTGATAGTGGAGTAATATTTATATCTATTCATTTACTCTAAAGTAAACGTTCGTTCACAAGAAACCCATTAAATGGGTGCCGTCTTCCAATGCTTTGCTTATTCTTAGAGTGATACGTTAACAATCTTGGAATAATATAATTTGTTAGCAATCGCTTTGCATTCTCATATCTCACCTGAAATCAAGGAAAAAAATATTTTCAATGTTCTTCCAACGTTTCCAACGTTTTCATATGGTCTATCACACTCTTGTAGTTTTTATTCAACTAACACTTCGTAATGGTCTTTGTGATAATCAACGGTAACGGTGAGGCACGATATTAAACATAAATTCGAAATGCTTCTGTTAAACGAATGAGTGAAACTCCGTCTTTTTTTGTTTTTTGCATATCAGCAATCAGTGATAACAAAGGATTTTGCTTTCATTCTAATCGAAAATATGGTAATGAATTATTGTGCTAGGTGTTTTGTCTATTGGAACATATGATGTGCTCGAATGAAGGCGTTTTCTGCACCGTTCGATTCGAACGGATAATTTTTCAAATCGGTCTCAGTAATGCTAAAATTTATCATGATTTATCATGATCGAGTGGTGTGACTTCGTGCAGCTCTCTTCTTCGAGACTGACGTCGTCAGTTAACATCATTAATCACTATCGACATCGAGTTCATACATTGCTGGTTTCACGTATTCATAACACAATTCAAACAATTTCCTCGAAACAATCAAAGAAATTTGGTGTAAGGATTAAGAGAAGAAGGATTAAGAGAAGAACATGCTTAATGCCAACTGCAGTTTATCGCGTATCGCTGATAATTTCACAGTAGTGAACATTGGCAAAACTTTATCATCACTATTGCATTCTGTTTGTTTCTGATTTCCTTATCAATACCAAGACTTTCATCAATACCCTATCAATGACGATTCTAGTTTTTGTTGTTACATTTTCAGTGAGTACTTATCGAGTGTACAGTCGTAGTGTGTCACGTCATGGTTACGACATCCCACAAATTATTAATAAAATGTTTTATTTTCACATTTCCCTGCAAGGCACCTACTGTTCCACATCGTTGCACAATCATTCGAGCTCGTACAATAGCGATCCATAAAATTGCAGAATTGTAATGAATGTGGCACAAAATATTTCAGTCAAAATTCAGAGCAAATTCGTCCTCTTAGGTTTGACTTTCCAGAAACGCGTTGCCACCAATGAACTATTCATCGGATCGTGTTTTTTATAGATATCGCAAAATGTTGCTTAGAGATTTCCTGTACGGACATTCCTACTTGTCGAGGAAAGTTTTTGATTGGGGAAGTTGAAGCGTATGAATGGTGATACTAGTGCAATTGTGCAGTTCTTCATAATTATCGTTACATTTACACTTATTGTTAGCAGTGTTCGGTTCGGTGACGATTGATGTTTCTGAAGTTATTTCAAATGATTAGTTTTGATTTGTTGTTTGCAGTTAGTGCACGATCGAATTGTGTTTATCGTTTTCAATGATAATCCAGCAAAAATGAGTCCTAGTTCAGTTAAGGGCTCAACGACGGAAGCGAAGATGTCTGCAAACTATGAGATTTTCAAAAATTTCATTGCCGGTGGGGTTGGTGGTACGTGTTGTGTTGCGACGGGACATCCATTCGATACGGTCAAAGTCAGACTACAAACTATGCCCGCACCAATCAATGGTGCCAGACCGTTATTCACGGGTGCTTTAGACTGTGTTCGGCAAACGGTCGGTAAAGAAGGTCTTCTGGCTCTGTACAAGGTACCAAGTGATTAGATTCTGGCTTCCGTATTCCTGCGTGCAATTTTCATTTAAAACGCCAAGCGATCATTTCAACTATTCAAAATTTTAGCAGTCATTAAGAATATCCATATATATTCTCAATGAACAGTTCACTTTTTGGGCTTTAGCAGATTTCAGTAATTTTGCGAGGTTATGTATTTTCATTGCAGTGAATGCTGGTTTGTGATATCATACAATATCCACCGGGCAGAAATTTTCAGCATTTCTTCATTGAACAGTTATCGTGTTCCATTTTNTTTTCATTTAAAGTTGAGGAAACCTGCAAAACGAAGTACTCTTCAAAAATCTGAAAGTCTTCAACGGTGAAAGTCTTTGATGTTCTGAATGTGGCTCATATCTTGTTGTAGGGTATGGCAGCGCCGATTGTAGGTGTAGCGCCGTTATTTGCCACATACTTCGGTGGATGTGCATTCGGTAAATGGATCCAACGAGCTGAGCCTGGTCAAGAACTAAGCTTCATCCAGAATTTTAATGCAGGCGCCTTGGCGGGTATTTTCACGGCCGTCATTATGGTGCCTGGTGAACGAATCAAATGCCTTTTACAAGTGAAGATCATCATATTCATTGTTTTTACTGCGTTTCATTTATTACTTCCATATATTCTGTCTTCGTTGTTATCATTACGATCAAAATCACTTGATATAATCATGGTTCACTGAAGCACACTTACTGCATCTATTATTTGCCATACGATTGCAGTTTCGCTGCATTTTCACCAATAAATCATGCAGACCATTCTTTTTAACGATATCAATGACAATTTCTAGTCGAAGTGAAACAATGATGCAAAAAAGGGTGTAGTGGTTCTTCTCAAGCCGAAACTGCTAACTAGAATTTATGCCTTGTTGAGGCAACAAGTGAGTAACAAGATAAAGCGAGAAAGATTGAGTGGAATTGGTCGTCAATAAAATAGCATTTTCTCTGTTCACCGAAGTGGAGAATTTAGGTACAACAGTCTGGGCATCGTGCACCAGGAGCGCCTCATTACAGTGGTCCGATTGATGTGGTGAAAAAGTTGTACAAGCAAGGCGGTATTCAGAGTTTATATCGTGGTACTGCTGCCACACTTCTACGAGGTGCGTTCCTGATATCTTTTATGGCGTTCAAACAAACAATGGAATATCTCAGTTTGTATCGTTCACTGAGTTGGAGTGAGAGGAATGAATGCGGAATATTTTCTCATCGGAATACAAATTGAATGTGTCAACTACAGATATACCAGCAAGTGGTGCGTATCTATCGACTTACGAATATCTCAAAAAGTTATTCTCGGGTGGTGCACCAGATCGAAATCTCTCTCCAGTGGCCACTCTAATGGCTGGTGGTTTCGCTGGTATCGCTAATTGGGCTGTTTGTATTCCCGCAGATGTCATGAAGTCACGTCTACAAACGGCTCCCGAGGGCAAGTATCCGGACGGTTAGCCAGTTTGTATGCTTTTTCACATCGACTGCCTCATTTATTTTCGGCAGTTATCATGAGTTTACCATGCGATTTGCACATGCACCCAAAAAGTGTTTTCATGTCGCGAATAACGTGAAACCTAAAATGCTATTCTCATTCGATGAATAATTCAACGTTTACGCATTGACCACTGACTATGCAACAGAAAATGCATTAATGTCGTTTGTGGAGATGATCTAAAATGTGACGTTAGTTTNGCGTTGATCATTATGTGATTCTGAAATTAATTTAAGGAATTCGTGGAGTATTCCGTGAGATAATGCGTGACGAAGGTCCACGAGCTCTTTTCAAAGGCTTCACACCTGTAATGCTGAGAGCTTTTCCAGCGAATGCAGCATGTTTCTTCGGTTTGGAAGTGACACTGAGGCTGTTTCATGTTTTCGAATAGAATTTGAATGATTGCTAACGATGCATTTGGTGTTTCATCACGTTTCTGAGCACTGCGGTGATACATCGCGTCATTCATAATAATTGTTACCTGTTGATGGGAGTCTATCCATTATAGCACTATTCAATTGCAGTATCTATAAATATTGTTTTTATAAACTCACTGATTTATGTGATTTAATCTTCATCATGTACTTCATTTGTTGTCAGCCAGTGTTTGCTCCGTTAAAAATTTTCCATCTAATTCTTCATGTTGTCATTATTGCTATTTATTGAAATGTGGTTGTTTCTTCTTCGCTTTGATCATTCTTTCGGGCGATTCTCAGCGGTTTCATTTGCTTTTAAGCTGATGGAGGTGTTCGTCAGTAATTGAGATGATTGAAAGCATTAGGATGCACGACAGGCACAACTCTAGGAAATTGTACATGATTAAGCTCTAGAACACCATCCGCTGTTCCAGGTGTACGAAACTGAATTTGCCGATGGCATTTCAGAGTTCGTACGATAAATTCTCGATCGTTCCTTACTGGTTGTACTTGTGAGTTTGCTTGCAGTATTTTTACATCCTTGATTTTCCAGTTCTGACCAAAAACCATTTAAAAATATCTCATAATGTCCACGTTATACTCTCTGAGAGTGTTTCTGGTGCCGTATCGTTTCCTTATTGCAAGCAGTAGTAATTTACTCTCAAAAAGTGGTTGCCTTTCTTCAAAAGTTTCTCCTTCACTTAATTTACGGTTGATCTTGTTACAGCTGCGCATTGTTTGCGTTGTGTATGTGTAATGTTTGCATGTAACGCGATCGAGATGATTACGCATGATGGTGGTGTGCTTTTCTGTGATATATCTTTATATCTTTGAGCGATGGTACAAGTCGGTAAAATGTGTTCTCTTGTGAACAAACGATCTGCTCAAATTTTTTTTTGAAGTACAATTTGATAAACGTGCGAGGTATTCGTGGATAACGTGAAGAAACAAATCATTCTCAGCTACCGGTGTCACCTCAAAGCTATTGATTGTTAACTGAACTATCGATTTTTGAAAATCATTGTAGCTTGTTCAGAATTTTTTTTTTGAATTTCAAATATCCGGAGAACTTTCGTCATGAAATGTCGACTAACGACTGGAAACTTTTAGAAAGACTGCAATTTCTGATGGAGTGCTTTCGTTCAGAGATGGGAAAGTGAAAGTCCTCTCATTTAGGATTTTCACTTTTCACTAGCAAATGTATGGGTAGTAAAGGTTTCCAGTTGAATGTTTTTGTCGCATTTATTGGCTGTCATATTTTTGCCGTGAATGTTCAATTATGACTTCTCAGAGTTCGTTTCGTATTAATATTCTCAAAAACAATATAGCTGGAATGTCGTAAAGGTGTAATCGTAGTTTTTGGATAAAAATTCCGAACTTTTATTCATAGATGAATACTAATCGAACGAACGATTCATTAGAATGTTCTGATCTGCGGACTATTATTTGTAGCAGTTGTCGTTTGCTGTAAACTTGTGGTAGTTTCACCCTATCAACTTGTCACGCATTAATCGTTATAAAGTTGAAACATCGGGTGTTTTGTTTCAGATGTTAAATGAAACAGAAACAACACGTCAAATAGTATCAGTATTTCAGTTACTCTCATTAATAGACGTTCATCGTTCTTCATGTATTCTTTGATTAGTTTTATAAAACTGAAGCAAGAAAGGATTTCTAGCGGGACTGATTCATTCGCACACTATAATGATCAGAGTACGAAGGAAAATTATGAAATTATTAATGAAGAATTCCATAAATGTCAGCTCTCAATCAGTATGAAAACAAACAAACGAAAAATTAGCCCACCAATAATGAATATTCGAATGAAATTTAGGTATTCGTTAATGTGAGAAAGCAGTAAAAGTTGACGAGCAATTCAAACAGTAATTATTTCA